AAACGGGCCTCGGCGGTCGCGAAGACGGTCGAGCTCGCTTTTATTTTAGTTTTGAAAATGTATTGGATTATTAGAACGACTTGTTCTCAAACTGAGACCTTGTCGATCTTATCCAATTTATTTATTAAATGTCTCACCAATCCATGTTAATCCCAAGCGGGACCCTCCATGGATTAGTGGTTTTCGTAGTAAAAGGGTTCATGGAGTCGCCACCAATGTTTTACTCAAAACATTGGAAAAAGAGGTTTAAGGCAATCGATTCAAAAATCGACTTCGGCCATTACAACCAGAGTCGGGTAACGTGCATGAGTCATGAGAGACGTATGAGTACAGCTGTTAAGTAATCCTATTATATATATATATAAATAAATAAATAGAGGGGATTATTATATCTAATATAAAAATTATTGTACAAAATAATGTATTATATTATATATTATAAATATTTTATTATTTTTGTATATTATATTATATAAATAATATAATTATAATATAGTTTAGAGAGAGAGAAAGCAAAATTAAGGATTGGGGGAGATTTATCTTATTGTTGTTTCCTAATTTAATTGTTCCTTTCATGAAAAATATAATAACTTAAAATGGTAGGATAAAAAAATTGTGATAAAACTATCATATTTTATTATTGTAATAAATAATTGGTTATAAATAATTAATTGAATAATATTCTATTAGTTAAGTTTCTAATTTTAGATCTAAAAGTGCAAGACGTTATTATGAAAGATGAAATTAAAAAAAAAATCTAAAAAATGTTTTTCGATATTCAAGTTGATTCTTAGATGGGTAATTATCAATTAATGCTATTAACTACTATTCATTCTATATAACTATCATGTAACATGAACCAATTTAAAGTGATGTTATATAAAAGTGACTAATTTGGAGTATTTTATAACATTGATCTTTACATTACAAATAATAAAATATTATTGAGTTAAATTTGAGTCATTTTTAATCTTAATTTGACTTTAACTCTTAAATTGGTTTACATAATTTGGTGTTTCTGTATAAACATGAATCAACAAGGTTATCACTTTGAGGAGGAACAACATTTAAGGTTGAAATTATAGTGATTTGTCTATTTAATTAAAATATTGTTTATAGATTTTCTCTCATTATAAAATATTTTTATTTTAACATTAATAAAAATCAATCTTAAGAGCATAGATAAATTTCCACATCTTAGATGTGATCTTACAATTATGAGAACATAAAATATATTAGTATGATACTTATTATGCCATGTTAACTTTAATAATAACAACTAACAATCATCCACTGAGAGATTAATTATTTTTTATTTATTAAAATTAAAATTATGGTATTATAAATTAAACTTAAAATCCTATGTACACCGGTCTAAATTCCTAACTGTTTTTATCCATCAAAATAAAATTACAATAACTGATACAAAATTTTAAATTTATACCTTAATTATAATTTATAATTATGGTTTCTAGCCCCCTTACTTGAATGAAGAAAGCTATTTTCAAAGAAATTTTTAAAATTGTTTTTTAATTTATCATATTTGTTAGACGAAATTGTAACGACCGTATACTTTCACATATTAATTAACATGAGAGTTGATCGTATTGAATCATATCGGATCACGCAGGAATATGTATATATTGAAAACGAAGGGGCGGCGAAGGGGAAGGAAAGGAAAGGAAATAGATAAGGAAAGGTGAGAACCGTACCGTACGCAAGTGGATCTGCTGCAGCGAAGTGCAACCTCAACCGGAACGCTCGGGTTGAATAATCTGCAGAAGCGATTCGATTAGATGCGAGGGCACGATTGGATCAACACGTTGCTACCCGACGAGATAATCGTCGAGATCTTCCGTCTCCTCGACTCCAAGTCCAGCCGCGACGCCTGCTCCCTCGTATGCACGCGCTGGCTCCGCCTCGAGCGCCTCACACGCGCCGCCATCCGCATCGGCGCCTCCGGCTCCCCGGACCTCTTTGTGCATCTCCTCGCCGCCCGTTTCTCCAACGTCACCACGGTTCACATCGACGAGCGTTTCTCCGTTACCGTCCCCACATTTGTAAGCCCTAAATTTCTTCGTTTTTAAATTTTTTTTTATCTCTTATAATTTCTTCATTTGGAATTTGTCTTGTTTCTAACAGGGGAGAAGACGTACGAGAGATAATTCCTCTTTGTCGGATAAAAACGGAACTGCATCCGCGGACGGCGGTTTTGATTCGCACTGTTTGTCTGATTCTGGTTTGGCTGCTCTAGCCAAAGGCTTTCCCAAGCTCGAGAAGCTTAGGTTAATTTGGTGCTCTAACGTCACTAGCAACGGATTGTCATCGCTGGCAAGGGAATGCACTTCTTTGAAGTCCCTGGACTTGCAGGTATTTTATTTTGCGATTTTGTTTTCTAGCTGATTCTATTTTGGTTAGCGGTTGCAATTGTTTATCTTTATGTATTTGGTTTGACAGTGTATTTTTATTATTTTATATAGAAGGTAGAGTGTTTAGCCTTCTTGTGAAATTACATAAGCATGTATACGACTATGGGAGTAGTTTCCTTGTGAGTCTACCAATATATGTGACTCTGGGAGTAGTTTGGCGTGAGTTATGCATATCCCTCATTTAATCGATGAGTTTTTCCTTTAGGGGTGTTATGTTGGAGATCAAGGTTTGGCTGCTGTTGGGCAGTGTTGCAAGCAACTTGAAGATTTGAATCTGCGTTTCTGTGAAGGCTTAACTGATACGGGTTTGGTTGAACTAGTGTTAGGGGTGGGGAAGTCATTAAAATCCCTTGGAGTAGCAGCTTGTGCTAAAATAACCGATGTTTCAATGGAAGCTGTGGGATTACACTGCAGATCCCTTGATACCTTATCATTGGACTCTGAGTACATCCATAATCGAGGGCTGCTTGCTGTGATTAAAGGATGTCCACATTTAAAAGTTCTAAAGCTGCAATGTGTTAATCTTTCAGATGATGCTTTGGAAGTTGTTGGCACTTCTTGTTTGTCTCTGGAGTTATTGGCTCTATATAGTTTTCAGAGATTTACTGATAAGTGAGCTGCTTTCTCATTATTACTTTTTTTCTGGATTTGCTTTTATTTGACTATGGTTGAATTAGCAAAAAATCACATGCAGTGGGCTTAGTACAAATAGCATATTTTTTTCTTGTGTTATGACTTGATCAACAGTTTGTAGAGTTGATCAATTCAGAAAGGCTTTTCGAGCAATTCTTTTTGATGATTTTTTTTTTTTTTTTTTTTAATTTCTGGTTTGTAAAATAAAGTCCAATGGGGTCATTTAATCCATTATGAACTGCAGCATTTTAGTTTTACATGTGGGCAAAGTCTTTTTCCATGTCTCTAATTATTAATTTTGCTTTCTAATAATTCTCCCATTTTTTTTGTTTAGTAAGTAATACTTTTTCTTTTAATAATGTCTAAATCCAGGGGTTTGTGTGCTATTGGGAATGGATGTAAGAAGTTAAAGAACTTGATTTTAAGTGATTGCTATTTTATAAGTGAGAAGGGTTTGGAAGCAATTGCTACAGGCTGCAAAGAACTTACTCATCTTGAAGTGAATGGGTGCCACAACATTGGATCTTCGGGGCTAGAATCTGTTGGAAAATCTTGCCAGTATGTTTCAAACTAAGCTAAGTTGTCTAAAAAAGTTATAGATGCATATGCATGGACTATAACTCTTATTTGCAACAAACTCCATATTTAGGAAAGATAAGTGTATGGAATTAGATAACTGTTCTAGAAGGAAGAAGCACAACGAATTTTATGTCTCTCTATCCAACATTTGTGTTGCTTTTTCCCTGCATGCATTTTTGTTTTATGTGCCTATGCATGTGCGGAACTGCATGCATATTGTGATTCACCTATGTTGCTCTACATGCATTATTAAAATCTGATAAGTACTCCCAATGTAAGCTGCAAAAAAAATTTATATATATATATATATATATGTATACATACATACGTGTGTGTGTGAGGAGGGATCGACTTATTCCAGAAGTAAGTCTATCAAGATTTATTATGTTTAATAACTCATGTTCTACATCAAATTTCAACGATCCATCGTTACTTTAAAAGTTCTTAATGTTTAGATTAGGTTTACAAATTTTTTAAAAAATTGAAAAATATTTGATATTTTGTTTCATTAATTCAAATCAACGTATAAAATGTTTTTATGATTATCCATAAACTTGAATTAATGAAATGAAGTATCAATTAATTTTTAAATTTTAAAAAACTTGTAAACTTGATCTATACATTAAAAACTTTTAAATTAATGATTGGATTGTTAAAATTTGACGTAAAATATGAGTTATTGAATGAAATTTATGTTTAGGGTGTAGGGTTTAGAGTAAGTCTAGGTAAACTTACTTACTATTGGAGTAAACGAATCCCTTTTCTCTCTCTTTCTATATATATATATGAGGAGGGATCAAATGATTCTAAGAGTAACTCTTAGTAAAGTTACTCTACTCAATAACTCATGGTATATATTGAATTTCAACGATTTAATCATTAAATTAAAATTTCAAGTCTACAAATTTTTAAAAATTTTGAAAATCATATGACACTTCATTATATAGATTCAAATCAATGTATAAAATGATTTTATGATTATTCGTCAATTGGAATTAATAAAATGAAGTATAAAATAGTTTTCAAAATTTTTAAAAATTTGTAGACTTGATCTATATATTATGAACTTTTAATTTAACGGTTGGATCATTGAAATTCAAAATACACCATGAGTTATTAAGTGAAATAACTTTATCAAGAGTTACTTATACTCATTTGATCCCTCCTCTCTCTCTCTCTCTATATATATATATATATATTAAGAATTTGGGTTTGGGTCTAATTCAACTCTACAAAAGTAACAAAACTATGTAAGGTGAGGATTGTGTTGTGTTTAAATGCAAGCGTAATTACAATGGAAAAAGTCTAAATATCAAATCCAATAAACTAGGTTCAAACAATTACCAACTTAATTTTGGATTTTAGCATGTTGAAGAAATAAAGTTAGATTGGAGATAATATTGATTTAAGAATTAAGAACAAAATACTAGAAAATTGTTATTAAAATTCTAAGATAAAAGTCCTAGAGTTATTACTTATTGTTCTCGATCTCCCAAGATATAATTTATAAATTATAAGACAATGTTGCCAATTTTACTTATGAAATTTTTGACAATCCTATGGTTCCATGAAACCAATAGTCTTTATCTTACAAAAAAACCTAAATTGATTATAAGAGTTTTATTATAAAAATAAAGCATATGCGTGCAGAAGCAAATTAATTTAATTGGAATTTAAGAAAACAGTTTGATCATTGAAATTTCTAGGGTTCAATTATTTTAGGGTTCTGTTAATTATAAGACTTTCATACACTTCTAATTAGTTGAGATAAGAAATAAAATACTATTATAATAATACGATAGTAAAAGCAAACAATTCATGGATTCATCATTGGGGGCTCACAAAGAACAATAATATCACAATCCTAGAATGGAGGAACTAGCCAGACATACTGCTAGAACCCATTAAACAGAGGAAAAGAATTAACTGTAATTGAAAGAATACTTATTCAAGGGTTTGCCTTTAGCCTCTTACAAAACCTCAATACCAAATACGAGAGAAAAAAATATAGAAGAAACTAAAACTAAAAATTGAATGATTACAACATACTTTGGACATTCATATTTATAATAAGAAACTAGGGCGAACAAGCACGATCATGTTTAACAACATGGGTGTGCTTCAACAATGATGAGGGCATGCTTTGTTATCTGAGGGCACTTTAGAGGAAGCATGGGGATGCTTATGGGCAATGAGGCCTTGCTTCGTAGCATGGCCGTGTATCTGAGCGTGCTTCTCTTGAAGCAAGACCGTGCATCAAACAAGCACAATTGTACATATCTTCAACCTTCACATTTGCTCTATTTTATTCCTTAATTGTTCGATATCATTATTTTTTGTATTTTTCCTATTTATTGCACACTTAATAAAGGAAGTGAAGTATTGCCAAAGATTTAACATTAAATTAAGGCAAAACATTAAATATTAGGTTCTTTTAGACGCAACATTTTGATGGTTTATCATATTGTTTCCCACTTATATATTCTAATATGGCCTCTTATCTATTGATGTGAGATTTGGTTTTTCCCAATACACCTCTTAACACCCAGCATCATTGGGCTTGCTACAAGGATAAACAAATAGTGACCTTTTTTTTTTATCCAAAATAAGCGAAACTTGGGTTTTTTTCCAATATACTCCCTCACACCCATCACTATTGGGCTTGGGGAGTGACCCTATTTAGGATATCTAGGATATCTTTGATATCATCTTAGCATGTGGTAGTGTGAGTTTAAACCTAATTCAATTCTATAAAATTGATTTATAAGATGAGGATTATTCCCCACTTATAAACTATATTTTGGCCATACCACTAGTCAATATGGGATCTCCAACACACCTCTCACATTGACAACTAGACATCTTAATCGTGAAATTTGTAGAACTAGACATTTGCAGGTGATCTGATTGTGGGTCGATAGCGGGTGACACAATAGGCCTAACAACAATCAATAATTGCTAGGATATAGGCTTTGATATCACTTTTGTGCACCGGTTGTGCAACCATATTAAAATGTGGGTGAGCCTAATTCAACCCTACAAAACTGTTTTATAAAGTAAGGGTTGTGTTATCTCTAGTCAATGTAGGACATGGGTTTTTTCCAAAAACACTCCCTCACATCCATCACTATTGGGTTTGGTGCATGGATAAATGGTAAGTGACCCTTGCTAATGGATATAGGATAGTTTTGATACCATTTTAAGAAAGTAGATTGGGGATTTAATCTTACAAAATTGGCTTGTAAGGTGAAAGTTGTCCCTCACTTATATATTCTTTATTTATCTTATTTGTAGTCAATGTAGGACCTGGGTTTATCTCAAATAATATATATATATATATATATATATATATATCACAAATCTACGTCTCCTAAACTCAATGTGAACAGGAGATACTGCTCCTATTGACATTGCTGTGTGCTTGGTAACAGACCTGGTTTGATGCCAAGAATGTGAACATGGAGACTACGGATAACAATCTTCTGGGTCCTGTTGGTGGTGCTATGCTAACAGTCTCAATTTAATGTAAAGCAGCAAACTTTTTGAACCACATGCTTTTTGGATATTTGGCTAAAATTCGTATTGTTTCACCAGCATTCTAAAACATCATTAAAAATATGTTTTGACCTAGGGGATTTGTGTGTTATCAAGCTTGTGTGAACTTCTCAGTTCATCTTATCATCCATGTTATTTTCATCTAGCTTTGTGCAAACACCTCTTAAAGGTTTTAACTTAAAAATAAATACCATACCAAGGTAATTTTTGGTTCAGTTTTACTTTCCCCCTTCTCTTCTCTTTAAAAATACTAAGGTATTTTTGGGGACAGAGTGCTCCCGGTCATTGAAGTTTATGGAATCTGATTTGGAGGAGTGAGTCTCATCCTCGTGAGAAATACTTCCTTTAGGAGTGCCTTCATAATGGATTAATAACAAATGCCTTTCGATACTCAAGGAGTATGACACATTGTGATCGGTGTCTGGTGTGTCATGGCTGAAGAAACTAGTATATGCATATCCTTCAAGATTGCCCAATGGTTGAATGGTTTGGCGCTTCTCTTCTGCCAACTCTGATGGATCAGTATTTTATGCAGGATATGGTGGTTTGGTTGGAGGAGAATGTAGGCAGCAACATGATAATAAAGAACGGAATTAGGTGGTCTTCAATCTTCTCAATTTCTCTGGACCTTATTTGGAAAGGCTGTGACAATCTGGTTTTTAATCAGATTGCTTTTGTTCTGAAAGACATTGCTACTACTGCTATTAAGCAAAGGGCCCGTCAGTTGACTTGTGCAGGAAATAATGTGGATACGGCCAATTTCACAGGTAAGGCTTATCATGGGTTGCAGCAAAATAATTATGCAGAGGTGGATATTTGTTGGTACCTGCCACAAGGGGGCTGGATTAAAGGAAATTCTGATGGGTCTCTTGTACAATAGACAAAGCTGGCTTCTTGCGGGGGGCTGTTTGAGAGATGAGTATGGTAATTGGGTGGGTGGATTTATGTGAAATCTTGGTTCCACCAATGTTGTCATGGCTGAACTTTAGGGGGTTGTGTCTTTGCTCCAGCTAGCTTGGAATAAGGGAGTTCACAAACTCATTTTTGAGTGACTCTAAACTGGTCATTCAAATTATTAATGATGGTGTTCATTCCATGCATGATGCACCCTTATTGGCCTATGGTTAATTTCATTCTGCATTGGCAATATAGGGATCGAGAAACCCAGTTTGTTCATGTTTATAGAGAGGCCAACATGGTTGCTAATTGGTTAGCTTCTCAAGCCCATGAGTATATCCAGTTGGGTGTCATACTTTTCCTACTCTGCCTGTTTTTCTCTGTTGCTTCTGGATGTATGGTTTATCTTTGGCCTGTAGCATACTTGTGTAATCTCTTTGGGTTATTGCCCTCCTTAATACCAAAAAAAAAAAAAAAAGAGAAGCTGAGCCAAACACATTTCTAGAAAAGCTCTTAAATAATTAAAGAGCTTAATTATAAAAGAAAAGAGGGGGAAAAGTAGCCTCTCTTCCCCTCACATCTTGAACTAGTCAATGTTGAACACCGAAAAGAACCTTTTAATTTAAATGTAACTTCTAAGTTAAAAACTGTCTAAAATTATTTATTTTTAATGTTCTTATTTTGAACTTTAACTTTGTAGTGGATTTTTGACTCTGAAAAAAAAAAAGCTCAGCCAAACAAGCCTGAATGTGAAAGTCAGTCAGACACATATCCATCTTGTGGCCCTATGTTTGAATATTAGCTCATGATATTGACATAACATTTGATCTGATGTCACAAGTTGAAGTTCCTAAATGTTGAATTTTTCCATCACCCTTTCATCAATGATGCAAATTTCAGCTTTCTATTGCAGACATCTGACTGAGTTAGCATTGCTTTACTCCCAAAAAATTGGTGATGTTGGCCTCCTTGAGGTTGGACAGGGATGCAAATTATTGCAAGCGCTTCACTTGGTAGATTGCTCAAGCATTGGAGATGAAGCCATGTATGGTATTGCCAGTGGATGCAGGAATTTAAAGAAACTTCATATCCGTCGCTGTTATGAGGTACTGTTGTTTGGTTTTCTGTGTGAAAATGCCATTTTGTGTGTAACTTCATTTTTGGCTTCACTTTTTTTGTCTTGCTTTCAATATGCACTCTCCACCTTGTAACCTGGCACACATTATGCATGCTTCTATAACATTATCCTTATTTATAATTATAATGTATAAATATTTTAAAATAATTTGTAGTTCTTTTGGAGATTTCCCATTCAAAAGTAATTTTACCTTAAGGTGAGTCCTTGGCACAATCCAAACAAAACTAATTCTTACTTTTAGTCAAAAGTCTCCAAATACGAAACAGTTTTTTAAAGTATACTCTTGTCGAAAGTCTACACAAGATATCTGAACTAGCTATCTCTTTATCTCCTCTCTCCCAGTTTGATTAAAAAAAATGGAAAAGATGAATTTCTTTTGTTGCTCTCGACACTTCCTATTGCATTGTTTTTGTCAAGGTTCCTTGATAACTGGATGACTACTTTTAGTCTCTCCTCTTTGATTTTAATTTTGTTGAATTTTTAAGCCGACAAATATCAGGTTGTTCTAAAAGAAGGGATATACATACACTGCATTGTATCTTGGATTTAATGAATTCTTAGCAGTATCTATATGTTATTATCTTTTAGGGTTTCTGTAGATTTTAAAAGATAGCATAATTAAACCATTTTTTTATGACCACAAACCAATTGTGCAAGTTAGTTGCCGTCCAAGTCCAGTGCTGTCTCTTCCCTTTTAAGCAAGATTGCAACTTGTTATTTACCTTGTTACATCAACTCTAGCCACCCCCTGTCAAACTATGATATAGTTGAAGTATTCACATTTGATGTAGTTTGCTACTGTTTTTGACTCAATGGAAGTGAGAGAAATAAAAGTATTTGAAAGTAGTGTAATACATGAATGTTAATTATACATCCAGTGTAAATCAGTAAGCAATTTTTTTTTATTGACTTTATATTTAAGTTCTATAACAGATTTTTGTAATTCTGTTTTCCCTTTCTCCTCATCTGCCTTGCTTTTTCTCCCTGTATCAGATTGGGAACAAGGGCATCGTTGCTGTTGGTCAGCACTGTAAGTTACTCACAGATCTTAGCATCCGATTCTGTGATAGGTAAAACCTTTATTTATTCTCCCTCTCCACTGAAATCCTCTCAGATATAGTTATTCTACTACTATTACTACTATGATCCTGTTAGGAAGTTTGTATTATATCTTTTCTTCTGTAGTTTCCTTTTGCATTCTTTTGCACGGTCTATTTTACATTTGAATAAATCTTGTATTGTTCATTGTGCATGATGTCTACCTTAACTTTGTTAAATTATTAGGGTGGGTGATGAGGCCCTTATTGCTATAGCTGAGGGCTGTTCCCTTCATAATCTGAACGTAAGTGGTTGCCATCAAATTGGAGATGCTGGAGTGATAGCCATTGCCAGGGGTTGCCCTCAACTCTGTTATTTGGATGTTAGTGTACTGCAGGTGTGTATTGATGTCTCTCTTTTTATTCCCGAAGCAATGTAGTCTTTATTTAGTTTATTATAGCCCTGTTTTTCAGGAATTTCTTGTGCTTTCTTTACTCAGTTATAATTTTTATTAGAATATTGCTGATGAAACATACAGATCACGGACTGCATAGTTTTTAGCATATATTGGAGACATCTCAATACCAAACCCTTTAAATACATATATATTATCATGGATGTTCTCTGATGCGAGGAAGGTTGCTTTACTTAAATAATGTCACAGAAGCAACTGCCTTTTGTAACGTTCATGTACTATCTATGTGAATGAGCTTAATTATAAGTTTTTACACAAGAAGCTATGAACTGGTCAACTTGTAAACCATATCCCAAGAAGTCTATCTACTTATTTGCTCTGCTCTGCTCTCCTTTTTCTTTTTGTTCATTCTGTTCCTCAATACAACTGCAGAATTTGGGTGATATGGCTATGGCTGAGTTGGGAGAACACTGTCCATTGCTGAAAGAAATAGTACTCTCACATTGCCGGCAAATAACAGATGTTGGGTTAGCCCATCTTGTAAAAAGTTGCACGATGCTTGAGTCATGCCACATGGTTTATTGCTCTGGTATAACTTCATCTGGAGTGGCCACAGTGGTTTCTAGCTGCCCCAATATAAAAAAAGTCCTTGTGGAAAAGTGGAAGGTTAGCCAACGTACAAAGCGCCGAGCAGGCTCTATAATTTCCTACTTGTGTGTAGACCTTTAGACCTCCTTCGGTATAGATGCATATCCCCAAGCTTTTTACTGTTATATGTGTGAATATATATAGAACTGCAGGTTATGACAATCGGCACAATAGTAGGATGCATGGTTGTGCATGTTTTGCTGGTGCAGGACTTTCGATCCCTTGGTGAATAAGGTTTTTTCTTGTACATATTAATATCGTTCTAGTGTCAGGGATTTGTCATAGGAGAGTGAAGAGTATAGAAACTAATAGGCCTGGATAAAAAGGTGTGGCTTTCAATAACTTGATTTATGTATATATATATAGTTGAAGAAATACTATGACTCTGAAATTGTTTATTCCAAAATTAAAAAAAAAAATGTGCCTTTCATATTGATGTTTCACACAAAATTTGTTGAGTAAAACCAAGGTTTGCTTTTATCTATTTGCTTTTAGCCTTGTATGGTAAATTGATTATTTGCTGAAGTAGCATGCAGTAAAGTTGGTATTCTCCAAACAATGTTTATCTCATGTGAAAGTGATTCACTTGACATTTAATGAAATTTTTTGTTACAAGTAAAACTTTATTTTTATTAGAGAACAATATCAACAGTACCATAAGTATTGTATCTATGATTTTGTATATAAGTTTTGTACTAAAAATAATAGATTGTTTGAGATTAAAATTCAATCATAAACATCTCGTATAATACCATTGATCCCACCACCACCTCTTCCCTAATTGTAGTTGTCATTGTGCCAGGTCAGCCTAATAAGTGAGGTCAAAATAAATTGAGATAATTTTTTTTCTTCAAGTGAGAAAAATGTTTTTTTTTTTTTGTTAAAAATGTTATTTTATTACTTTGTAAAATTAATGCAACTATTTTTTGCTGGGTGTAAAAACTGAAATAAGTTTTTGTTGGTGGACATAAAGTTTAAGTTTTAATAACTTTATCTTTGGATTAACCATGCAATTGTAGAAATTATCATATTATTATTATTGTCAGTACTCTTACCATGTGGTGATGGTAGCAAAAACAACATTGATATATCTAAAGATTTATTTATAATTGAATTTTAATTTTAGTGGTCTATTAATTATAATCCTAATCTAAGAGTTATTATTTTTTATTTTCATGTTATCACAAAATCAAGTATTCTCAGAGTAATCATTCCCGTGTATAAGCAATTAATATTCACCGAAGGTGAAGATTAAGGAGACTAACTTGAAAATAACCCAATGAAGTCATCTTAGGTTTAGATAATTTACAGAGGCTTGATTGTAAAATACACAATCTAAAAAGAAAAAAACTTTTACATTTTGAGTTAAAATATTTGTTAACCTCTATAAATTTATTTATTTTATCTTTTAATTCTTATAGTTTAAAATAGTTTTTTTTATATAGTTTCTATACTTATCCTTTTCAATTTTTTTAATCCTTATAATTTAAAATATTTTTTTAGTACTTACATTTGTAACTTTTTCCTTATTTTAATTTTTATCCTTAATTTTTTTATAATATTGTTTATTTTGTGTTAACATGTCAAAAATATTAATTTAACTTTATATGTTTGAAGTTAAATTTATTTTGTTAAAATTATTCAAAATTAAATCTCTCAATATTTCATATCTCTTTATACCCTCACTTGCAGTGTTTACCTTTATAAAATTAAAATTCTTTATTATAAAACATGAAACAAATGATTTTTTTTTAAAAATAATGATAAAGATTAAAATGTTAAAAAAATTAGAAATATAAAAATTAAAAAGATATAACTTAAACTATAGAATTAAAAATATTTAAAAAAAATTAAAAACTAAAAATATTTATTTTAAATTATAAGAGGTTAAAAAAGTATTTTAACAGAGTTGAATCAGAAGCAATTTTGCTCCATTTATTCAGTATTAAAGCGTGCAAGAACAGGAAGTATAAAAATGTTGGTATTTAAGGCGGAGAGAAGAAATTTCTTATTCTTCTTGTTTTTATATACTTTTTTATTAGAAATATTTATATTATTTTATATACTTATTTTTTTCCTTTTCCTTTTTTTCATACAACCAAACAAGAGTAAAACTTTTATCTTTCTTTTTTGTCATTTTTTTCTCTTAAATAGCTTAAAAATTATCTTACTTTGTACTCTTTTTTTTTCCTTTCCTTTTCTTTTATTCTCTCTTCTCTAAACCAAATATATCATTAAACAAAAATGTAAGTGTTTCTCTCTCCACACTATTACACACAACAAGAGAATAAAAAATTATGCAAAGTTGCTAGAGAGATCGCAGGTGGAGTGCTTAGGTCAGTTCGGTGGATATTGAGATACATATAATGGTGACACTCAAGCCAGCCGTCACCGCCTGCCTTCCCTCTTAGAACAAGACAGCTCTGCCATGCCGGAGAAGACACAGCCACCGTCGGGAAAGACAGGCTCGCCGTCGTAGAAGACAGATCGACGGATATCCGCCGGGGAAGACAGATCCGCCGGAAAAAGAAGAAAAAATTTATCGCCCACCCGCGATCGCGCCGCCACGCTCCTCCGCTTTCGCGGCCGCTCCTTTAAAGCGCTCCGCAACAAACTTTCTGTAGCGGCACGGAGCCGCTCCGCTCCGACGCGTCGAGATAGCGGCCGCGACAACCGCTATTGACTACTATTGATTCGGAAATATTATCAGTGTAGAGTAAAAAATGGAGGCACTGAAAGCATGTTATGGGGATGGATCTTCTGATTCGGATTCTGAATCTGCCCCTTCAATTCCAACCGCTGCTCCCTCAGAAGTATTCACACCCTTGCCACCACCTCCTGTCTCACTCCTTGATCCTCCAAAATTTCTTGGTATTCTACATTGTATGATGGTTTTATTTACTCATCACTAGAATATAAAATGAGATGTAAAAATACATTGTTTGATAGGTTTAAGTGCTCCATTAGGAAACAATAAGAATTGCAAATTTTACCAACCTCAAAATCTAAATTAATGGTACTTTTCTTTTCTTCTGAATTCATAAACTCATATTTCTTATATCGAAAGTTTCGTTTCAACTAAATAAATATTCAGTTGTTATTTATGTGCAAGTATGTTATGTTTCTTTGCAACTATTCGTTGTTTTGACTGTAAAGGGCTTCTAGATTTTCAGGTAGGTCAGACAACTAGAGTTAGGAGCTTCCCTCATGTTGATGGTAACTACGCCTTGCATGTATACATACCAAGTAAGTTGGTTATGATCTCTATAGAAAGTTGTCTTAGTTTGAACATACTAATTAATGTTTTTCATGCAATGGTTATGCTGTTGCAGAGATTTTATTGAATTTACTGTGTATTCATTTGTCTATGCACATAATAATGCCCCACGTTTAGATTTACCTGCTAGCTGGCAGATCAGTATATATGCATGTATATGAATTAGGAAAACTGACCATCATAATTTTCTTAATATGCTTCTGAGTATTGTATTATGTGTCTTGCTTTATACTGTACAAATTTTTTCTTGTTTCTCCCTTGTTATCACCGTTTTCTTCTTTTCTTGGAGACATGAATGTATAATCATATTCTCAAGTTGGGCTGCAATTGTTCTTGGACGAAACGGGTTTTAGCTTGCATGGTATCTTGCATTAGACCTCCTTCTTTGTTATTTATAAAAAGGAAGAAACTTAAAAAGGGAAGATTTAGGTTGTGTACAGATGCTTTCTGTCATTAAAACCCATGTATAGCACAAGCCTACTTCTGATACACGTGAGGGATACTCATTAAAAGGTTATTTCCTAACAGTAGCATAAGATATCTACCCCTCTAAATTATTGAAGTTATTTTAACTGATCCCTCCGTATGTTTAGATGATCACCCTGGGCCCTATCAAAATCAAAATATAAAAAAATAAAATTAGTTGATGCATCTGCAATGGTCGCAGAGCAAGTTGCACATGACCTGGCATTTCAAACCGATGGTGGAGCTGTACAACTGAGACTGAAGGTGAATCTGCTATTTGTCAGATATGGACAAACACACACTATCTTTTACCTATAACAAGGTACCTCCTTAGGTCAAGGATAACTGGTTTATTGTTTAATGATCATTGGTGCTGCTAATACCAATGTGTGAACTTTCCTCTTTTGAACCATGTAAGATTCTGATGTAGGCACTGAATCACACGCAGGATACAGACTTATAAAAAGTGATTCTTGAAATTGAAAGGGACATGCTAAGATTCACATATGATAAATTTGTTAATAAATTATTAGTCTAACCCAGAAAATCCTTTGAAGATATTTAAAGGTTTTGCCCCTCCTAACCTGTTGATCAAGTTCAACCACTGCATGCAAGGCTAGTTTTCATTTCCTGACGTACCTGTACCTTTTTTCATGCATCTTCAATTCAATTCACCATGCTTTTAAATTTGTTCAAAAGTTTTTCATGGTATATAGTATAAGGTGCAGTCACCTGGGACTCAGACTGTAGTATTTTTTTACAGTTTACATTTCATCTCCAAAGAAAGAACTGGTTGCTTTCTTGAAAAAAGTCTCATCTCAGGAACCAAGTCTTAATGTTGTTGATGTTGACGTCCCACTCAACATCCTCTGCAATAATGATGAGAAGCTCGAACAAGTTGTCTTAGGAAGAGAATTTCACATAAGTTTAGGAAGAACTGTTCCAATACGAGTGCACCAAATTGATTCGATGGTCTCAATGCTCAGACAGAAGCTTCAAACTCAACACCAGTCAGTCTTAGTTTTTGTATTGATCAATTATGAAAATGGAACAGCATATTTGTGTCACCTCATCTGTTTACCTAATTGCTTTCTTGCCTTTTTTGAAAAGCAGGTATTGGATTAACTTTAACAAGTGGGAGGTTTTTGTTAATGATGATCACACACGTACCTTTGTCTCGCTAGAAGTTGTTCAAGGAGGGTTAGTAGAGATAAAGAAGCAAATTGAAGCAGTCAATACAATTTACAGGCTTCATAATCTTCCTGAGTTTTACGAGGATCCACGTCCTCACATATCCATAGCATGGGCCCTTGGTGACATTTCCCATTCCCTGAAGAAAGTTATCAACGAGGAAATGAAGTGTTCTTTTGGGAAATCTTTAAAGTTTATTTTTAGCTGTAAATTTAAAGGTATCGAATGTAAGATTGGCAATAAAACATATACAATATGCAAAATTTCAGATGGACAATAATACGTGCACATTAAAGAAAAAGCAAGAGGTTTCCTGAAATATTTCAGGTTGAATGGAATTCTGTTTGGTGGGTTTCTTGGCTTGGTGGAAACTGGAAACCTGCTCATAAATAGATTTCTAGTTTGATGTGAATGAGTAACTTGGGTCTTTATTCCTTGTGAACATGCTTTGTTATGTTACGTGTAGTGTAATTGTAATTTCTATCAACATATCTGTAGTTTTGCTAGATGCGGTATCTTACAAAAACAAAAAACAAAAAAGACAATAGAATGTAAAAAACTAAGAACATGATATTATATAATTCTATTTTCTAGATATTCTCATCTCATTTCTAGTCTTTTCCTAATCAGTGTCAGTTTCTGTGCAAGATAAAAAAGAAACAATCCGCTCGGGCCCTCAACAGCAGATTTTCTAAAAAGATTTCCTTGTATGAGACTTCGGAAGATTTATATTTCAACCTTGATTTAATTCAGTTGTCATGTCACCTTAATGATGAATGACATGATATAAAATAGCCCAATGTTTGCAATTTCATTTAAATAAAGCTGCTGATTTAAAACATATTAATGCTGTCTAGACATTAAACATAGGATTCTATCCCTAATATCATATCAATATCGATTTAGGGAGGGGTGGTCAGATTAGATATTGGGAGGGGTGGTTAAATTAGATATTGACCGAGACTACTTATATAGAGGAGTCAGATCGGATTGTGATCGACATAGTACACTTATATCTCAGTTAGATCGGATTCTGATCGTCTAATATTTCACTATTATAAAATTGTATATAAATAAAATTATAAAACTTTATATTCAAAATAAATAATATCTTACTATTATAAAAATTGTGTGTAAAATAATCTTGGAAAAATAATAAGTTATAATCATTTCTTTTTATATAAATATATTCTCTCAAAAAAAATTATCAAAAATAATCCTAACAATAAAATCAAATTGCTTTGAACTGATCATGTACAACATACAAGTCTACAATTACAAAGCAACAACTAGGGAACAATCATATGTGCAGATGACTCCGAATTGGAACCTTACAAGATGCCACAAGCTATAGGTATTGCCCTATGTCTTAGCCACGCAAAAATATAAGAAGAAATTGTCAATATAATATTTATTTGAATAATTATAAATTTTCTTACACTTTGTTCCTATTAATCTTTTTAGGTATTAGATAAAGAAAGTGTTGAAACTTTTTCTTTAATACTCTTAAGATATTAAATCCATTCTTATATTTAATAATTTTTATAAAATATTTAAAAGATGAGAGTATAAATGAAATTTTAAGAAGACATAAAATTAATCTATTTATTTATTATGATCCTTCACCACTGTTGAATACTTGGATTCTCATTCTAGAGATTAGTGAACTCCAAATGTGAGTGAGAGAAAGTGTGTGATCTAATACATGTTTGGAATCGTATGCAATAAGGTAAATAAAATTTCACACCTTTTTAAATATAAAATTAAGAAATAATATTAGGTTGTTTTCAAGATGAATGATAATCTAAACACACTAATAGTTTTGGTTACTTTGGATGGATTAAGTTAGAAACTTGGTTGATGCTGAAAAAAAAGAAAGTTAACAATGTAGGGAATCAATTCAGTTAAGTGTTTGCCTTCTGTGTACTTTTCCTTTTTTTCTCAAAATAATTTTGGTATCATTTTCTCCTTTAGTTACTTAGGTTAGGTGGCATGAATTTTCTTTCTCTAGTGTTTGGCACATCTATATTTGTTAAAAAAAAATAGATAAGCCAGTAATAAGAAGCAAAAGATGCTTGATGGATTGAATATTAGACCATGGGCATCTTGGTTGATAGAACAAAATGTGCATCTTCATGTACTTCATCTTGACATAAAGGTGACATTTTTTTTATCCGAAGCTCACACATGCATGGTCATCATCAGGTTTGACGATAACTATAAATTCTTCATAGAATCGCTACAGGACAAAGCTCTCCCTCTAACTAATTAATCCCATATCTTGGCTAATGAGTGCAGCAACATTGTCTAATATTGATGCAACTATGTTATCTGCATAATTTTATTCATATATCCATTGATCCATTGGGCTAAACTGAGTCCGTGACCCAGCAAGATACAAGCATTATTCACGTCACGTTATGTATATGTAATATACTCATAACATAACAACTTTATACTAATTATATAATATCTATACTAAGATTCAGACCTTTCCTAATCTTAGTACCAATCCTTACAGACAGCTCTAAACATTCTTTATGGCTTACTAGAAGATTCTTGTCCCCCTGTAGATTTGCCATTTGTTTTTTCCCCAATACAAACTAATACGTATACCATCTAGATTAATTTCTTAATCCTATTTATGTTTGGGTTGAGACACAGAATCTTGGCAGGGAAAAAGTTCACCGCAAAAGGCTATGGCTTCTAAGCATGCCATACATTTTGAGACAGCTATCAACTAAATTGTTAAAAAAAGGGAGAAATCCAAAGTTCAAACAAACAGTACAATAAAATCAGAGTTCATGCTATGATTTCGATTTAAGATTTCTAATTGATAATATGCGCATGCCTACCTATTTTATTGTTTTTTAAACAAACCCAGTAGCTACTTTATTAGTTGTTTTTCTACATCTAGAAGCAAACATAAGACCATAGGTACTCTGATTCTTTACATATATTTAAGAGTTTAATAACCATATACGGCCAATCAATTATAAATTATGATATGTATGATTTTTAAATAGTTTTGTAAAAATTAATAAATTTATTAATTATAAATGACGATTTCTAATTGAACAACAATGTGACGAGTTTTTCTATAATTAAAAAATAACCAAAAAAAATCAACATTTAAAAATGAAGATTAAGAGTTCCAAGACACAGAAAACCTAATCAGATTTAGTTCTATTTGCCCTTTGGGAGGGGGTAGATATTATTAACAATGCTATCAAAGCTTTTTCAATGTCCAAGAGATTTGGCTTTGTGAAAGCTAGAAATTAATGGATGTTGGGAACAAGTTGGAGTGAGGGATATAGAAAGTTCAATTAGTAAGAAAAAAATAGTGGAATTAATTAACCATATAAGCTTTATGAAGAGGACAGATAGTTAGGAGCAGAGGGAACATGATGACTTGTATCCATGCCAATGCCTCAACCTCTCTCTCTCAGACATTATTAATTGCTTCAAAGGCATCTCTTGGTTTTGTGCTTGAGACTTGCAGATATCAAATCTAACATCTGTGACTACAAATTATTTTTATACTAATAATTATTCTTTTTTTTTTAAAAAATATTTCATGTGACCTTTTGCTATATTGAAAATGTTTCCTATTTATCAGCAATTCAGCATGGAGCATATAGACTCTATGATGTGGTAATTTTCTTCCTCTCTTTACGTTTCCCGAAAAAATCAGATTTAATTCCACATACTTTTTGTTAAATAATTTATTACTTGAATTAACCAACACTTGTATTTGGTATATATCTCTTTGTGTAGAAGAATATTTGGCCCCTCACTCTATGAGTATACGCAGTTTGATGCAGTTCAATATATATGTTACTGAGCCAGCAATAGCATCATCTTGGTTGAACAGAGCAGACATTCAGATAGATTTCCAAATTTGACAGCTGAAATAAAAACTTTAAAATACATATGACCCTTTCATTACTTAAACAGATTAATGTATGTTATTTTTTCTGTGCTATTGGTGTTAGGTTCGAGCATTATTCATTTTTATCGATAAAAAAATTATAATAACAATAATAAAGATTAAACCTTATTAAATTTTCATGCATTTATTCCTGTCCTAATATATTAAGCCAATCTTAATGGTTTGATTACTTAACTCCTTGTATTGTTTTCTTTTTATAAAAAAAGAATGAGTACGATAATGTTCACTATTTTTTTCGGTAATATTATATCCTTTTATAAATCTTCAATTCCTAAAATTTTATGAAGAAATTATTAAGTAAAAATTAAATAAATTTAAAGCTTTAGAAATTTAGAACACACCTTCAATACTTTATTTAAGAAAATTAGTAATAAAAAAAAAAACAATTGTAGAAGAATTTGAAATTCTATTTTATTTTATTCAAATTATAAGAATTAACAATAATAAAAATAACCCGTACATGACGATATTTTTCTTCTTTTCCTTCCACGTACTCTTCTTAGAGCGTGAAGCAAAATAACATTCAAATTAGGGTGAATCAGTGCAATTCCAATGGTTATGACACCACGTTTATGTCAGCACTTGCTCAGATTCCACTAGTGTTGGTAGTTGTGGTTGGGTATTCATAAGTTGGTTTAACAGTAAATTAATTAATAGTTTAAGGTTTAGGGTTATATTTAGTCAATTATTATTTATTAACGTTAATGCTCTAGACCTTTGTTCGGGGGATTGCTCCGGTGCCCTCTTATTTGAAGGGGTTTTGGTGCCCCTCAGTACAAAAGTTGGGTTTTTAGGGGCAATAAGGTAAATTGATAGCCTTCGGTCAATTTATCAATTTATCTTATTGCCCCTAAAAACCCAACTTTTGTACTGAGGGGCACCAAAACCCCTTCAAATAAGAAGGCACCGGAGCAATAGCCCTTTGTTGGGGTTAGAAAAATAGGTAGTTGTAAGAAAAATGGCTATTATTGTCTCCAACTTTGTTAGATTCTGTCATGATTGGAGAGGGTGATTTTACATAAGAAAGTACTTGTAGTATATTTTAATTAACTAATGGTTTTATTAGTTAAAATTAAAATTTATCTCATAACAAAGAGAAGGTTGGGACTATAGTTATATGAAGTGAAAGTCTAATTTTGAATGAAACATAATACCCACATCCCCATTAATTTATTATATTTTTAAGGTATATATAACAATATAGAAGAGCAAATAGCACAAGAAATTTGAAAGACAAAATTTAACTCGCAATAATTCCAACAATGCAAGCTTGCAAAATGAAAATCAGACGTACGTCACAGTTGCTAGTGGTTACACTTACAGGGCAAGAGATCTTCTCAAGTCTTAATTAAGACCCCAAAGTTACGTCAATAAGATCTTGCATGTCATCCACTTGAGTGCCACTACATTCTCTTTTTCAGGGTCAAAGTTAAATATCCAATTACATTATAGGTTTTTTTTCACGGGTAAAATTTATTTAAGAGTAAACA